CACTATTTTTTAATTTTGTCCTTGTTAGTCATTATAAAAAAAAAAGAATTAAATTAATCAATTATTTTTTAATAAAAAAATTGTAAAAATTTTCTTTGACTAAAACACCCTTGAGTTGAGTGGTAAAGATGGTGACAAGAGAGACTGAAATTCGTAAACTGTGACATGCAAGTCATGATAGATCGATATGACTTTATACTGTGTTCAACATATTTGATATCATGCTCAATTACTCGATCCTAAACCTTATCGAACCAATATAATTTCAAAGCGCGCTACAACATAAGCAAGCATGTGACTCGCAAGTCATGACTAATATATATGACGTTTTGTTATATACAACAACTAATTTAATTACGCGCCTTGTTAGATCGATTACAAATCACATCAAATCATCACAAGTTCTTCTATAAAGATGGTGACAAGAGAGACTGAAATTCGTAAACTGTGACATGCAAGTCATGACAGATCGATATGATTTTATACTGTATTCAACATATTTGATATCATGCTCAAATTACTTGATTTTAAATCTTATCGAACCAATATAATTCCAAAGCGTGCTACAACATAACTAAGCATGTGACTCGCAAGTCACGACATATATATATATAACATTTTTTTTTATATACAACGACTAATTTAATTATGCGCCTTGTTAGATTAATTACAAATCATATCAAATCATCACAAGCTCTTCCATCGATCTTCTATTGAAAGGATAAATATATCATTTGTCTTTATTCGTAAATTTAAATTTATTAATTTTAAATTCTGAATCCGTTTACGTAACAAAAAATGCATGGGGTGGCTATGGAGAAAGTTGTTAGGGTTAAGGAAAATAGATAAATACGTGGAGAAAAAGACAACCGCGTTATATAAATATATGACAGCTACACACCTTTAAGAACCTAAGAAGCAAAATCTTTAAGCAAAAAGACTTTTTTTTGGTCAATTTTTTTTTTATTTTTTGGAATAATTTTTCTTTCTTGGAAATTTTGTAGTATTATTTTTTTGTTTACTATTATGTTATTAAGGTATAATTGGTTAGTTCGAGAATCGAGGATGATTTTTAATTGAGTATAAAAAAAATATTTTAAAATATATTTTTTTCTGTAAAAATGTTTCACGCGATATAATCTAAACTAATTAAGTATCAGATATATTAGATTGAAACTAAGAAAGTTACATCGTCAAAGGGATTAATTAATGAAAGTTTGATTAGTTTATGATAAGGGTTAAGGATAGAGTCATAGGCAAACTAATCATTTCTTTGTCTTGTTAGTAAAGACCAAGTCTATTTTTTGTTATTATTTTTTTTTGAAAAAAAATATTGTTGAGAATAAGAATGTGCTATATTGATAATTGAGTTTAATTTATATATATCGTTAGAGTAAAAATAAATTTCTATTTATCATTCTGTCGTTAAAGAATATTTATCGAAAAATCTTTTCAAAATTGATATTTATATTACTTTTTTAAAAAGACATGATACTTGTGTCATCAGATACAATAATCTATGATATCAACACTAACCACAAATCCAATAAAGTTTTGTTCGTGTTTATATCAATTCAATAAATATATAATATGTATTTTTACAAATATGATTATCATTAAATTATGGTATATCAATATAATCTAGTGTAAATTAATATTAGATGTAGATAAATTTATGAGCTTATTGTTAATTTGTTTGTTTCATTTACTTATCAATTAATTAAACTAAATTATTAATGTCATTGATGACAACGTAACTTTATATCGTTAATAAAATATAGAACTCTTTTCATTTTTTTTACAACAATTTAATAACTAATTAATGATACAAAAGTTTAATTATATTGCTACCCATTTGGGGAGAAATGAGAATGTATATTTAATTAATTGCCGGCTAACTAGAGTAGTAGGTATAATTATTAAACTAAAATAAAGGAAAAGTTCAAGAAGAAAATAAAAAAAAAGATTTTATATTATACTATATTTATTTTTTTATATGCAACTAGTTATTTTATTAAATATGTTTAGGCTTTTAATTTTTCTTAGCTATCTTGAGTTCTACAATAATATAATTCTTTTTAGTAGTTTCTTTAATTCATTTGACCTATCAAATGATAGTATTATGATAATTTCTATTCCAAATTATATAATGCTCTTTTTTGTTATAAATTTTAAAATTATTTGATATATTCTATGTTTATGAGAAAATTTGTATAATTTTATACCTTGGAAATTTTGTTAAATCATTCAAAGTTTTGAGTTATTATATTTATTATCTCTATCAAACGAACTGTTTGCAACAAGTTTTAAAGTGACAGAAAATAAATTAAAATTTCAAATAAAATATGAAGAAACATAATTTTATTGATCAAGATAGATTGCGGATACAATTCTGTTGATCCCTTGATTCTACTCTCCTAAGATTTATCCATGATTTGAGGATCTGTTGATCCCTTGATTCTACTCTCCTAAGATTTATCCATGATTTGAGGACCGTAAGTGGCGTATTTCTTGAACTAGGATGATTTAGATTTGACCTCTCTATATGAATAATCCATTAATGTATGGAGTATTCGAGATCTTGATCTCTTTATGAAATTTTCGAGAGAATTTAGTACCCTTTATATAGGCATAAACTAGGGTTTAGGGTTGAGTAGCCTCCAAGAGTCCCAACTCAAATTGAAACATCTTGTAGAGTCCCAGAAAATTAGCATGACGGAGCGTAGATTTGATGAAAATATGAATAATTCATCAATTTGTGGAGTATTCGAGATCTTGATCTCTTTATGAAATTTTCGAAATGCCTTTTAAGAAAATTTAATACTCTTTACATAGGCATAAACTAGGATTTATGGTTGAGTAACAATATTTTATGTGTTTATTTATTTTTCGATCATAAACCTGTATAATATACAAGTTGAAATAAATATCTTAAAACTCCCTTAATGATTTTATTATTTTTTATTAGATGTTTACAATATTTTTTTTTTAAGTCAAAGAGTTCAATTTTGACTAGTGGGACATGAACAAATAAAACATATTTCTAATTATGATTTTTTGGTCAATTTTAGAGGCAATAATAAGCAAATTTACTCAAAAAAAAATATTATTATTTTGGAATTTGGATTATGATTCAAATTTTGAGTATTCAAAGCTATTAAAAAATGGTGCACAATGGATTGAAGTGCATGTAGAATAATGGGTCAATTTTTTAATACTTGAAAGCCAAGTCTCCATTTTTGCCATTTTATATTATCATTAATAATATATTAAAGTAAAATTGTTTAATTAACACAAATACAATTTTTTTACTAAAGCTATAGATTATGCAGAATCCATTAGCTCCCACCTTTGATAAAAAAAAATTTGCATTTAATATTTATATCAGATTATATGTAATTTATTATATAAATAAATATTAAATCGAGAAGAGAATATATACTGATTATATTATGATTGTATCCTTATTTCCACTTTAAAGAAGTATTTTTGCATGAATTATATTAATTTCTCGGTTGGTTGACTTTCGATTTTGTAGAGCAAAACAGAAGAACTTCGTAACAACAAAAAAATTTTGAGGCAAATTATTAGTAATATAATCAATTTCACTGCACTTAATTTTTAGCTACAATTTTCCTCTTTTTGTGCCTTTACTGTATTAATAATTCTTTTATTCTAAAGTGAAAATCATAATAAAGATATTTCAAACGAAAAGCAAATAACCAAAAAAAAGTAAATGTTTTTTTTTTGTCTAAAGTGAAAGTCATATTTATTTCCTACTAAAAGCAATAAATTAAAAAAAACGATTTTTTTATCTGATATGCAAGTCTTAATAAAGATATATTTCCTATAACAAAAGCAATATCCAGAAAAAAATAAATGAAAACGATTTATATTCAACAACGACTATAATAATAAGTAATAATATATTTAATATAATTCTATAAGCGTGATCTGAAAAAATATAAAGTGTATGTAAATCTTACATCTATTTCATAGAAATAGATAGCAATTTACTTTTTTATATCAGGAAAAACTAAATATACTTCGTATTTTAAAGACGTCTTTTCTGAATAATCGAGTCGAATTGAAACAAAATATTGGAACCAAAGAAAGGAATAAATAAGTTTATTTATAGATTGCCATGTAATTGATGATGCATTACGAAAGTTTTAATTAGGCATAATACATATATTAGACCCTAAACTTAGCTTCAAATTTTAACTTTGACCTCCAACTTTCATAATGCACAAACAAACACTTTAACTATCCAACTTTTAAATAAATAAGCACATGAATCCTACATTGCACAATACACGTAAGACACCACGTAGGATAAAAAATGACATATGTAGGACATGTATGTTTATTTGTTCAACTTTATACAAATTTAAATGTCTACTTGTGCACACCCAAAGTTGAAGGGCGTTAATATGATTCGAAGCCAAGTTAATAAAACATATTTATGTATTAAGCCGTTTAATTAGTTTGAAAGAAGTAGAAGCATCTTTCTCCTTTCATGGAAAGTTTTAAGGTACTTAATAATATAATTTGATGCTTCAAAGAAAGAGCAAAAGAGAAGTCAATAACATACAAATGAAGCCTTTTAAAAACAAACAATTGTACCAATTTTTTTAAAAAAATCTAAAGTTACGTACTAGTGAAGTTCATGCATTTCAACCTGAAGTTCAAGTAAAAATGATTAATCTTCGGTCGTTTTTACTTGAACAACTGAAAATTCAATCATTTTTGTAAGAACTTATGTGCATGAACACAATTATTTTCGAACTCATACACATGCAAAAAAAATATTTAAATGGCAATATCAAAATCGGATATCCGTGCACTTTACTCGATGATGCCTCTAGTCGAGGTGCGTACAAATTGGCTCAACCGACATAGTGAAGATAAAAATTTCAACATATCCCTTTAGCATTTGGAACCATAATCCTTCAATACTTTTATTCACATAAAGCTTCATATAGTAAAAGGGAGCTATAAAACAAAACAAGCAACTTGTTTAATATGGTGTTGATATGCTCTATTACCATTATTCATGAACTTGAATTCACAAGACCAGATTTACAGAGAATGATGTGCATGCAGAGCATACTCTGCACGCGATAATAACGTCAAGGGTAATGAGCTAAACTCTATACAAAAGCGGATGATAACGCAGTCATCCAGAACTCAACTTTAACGTCTGTGGTTCCTGAGCTCTCATCATATACTATAAAAAAGGGCTATAGTAAATTCTCATTGAAGAGAATTGTGTACCTATATCTGGAGGGTGAAAAGAATCTTCTCAGCATGCTGAGGTATTAAATATCGAGAGAATGACCCAAAACCCAAACTATCTATACCGACCAGCCAACGATGTTTCTCCAGAAACCAATCCTGCAAATGTAGTATGAGTATATTAGAACCAACTCTAGCTCATATATACTGAAACGGTAAGGATCAATGTCACATTTCACGTAAGCCATGCATAATAGCAGAAAAAATTGCAATAGTTTATGGTCAAACAGAACTGATGCTTACTATGGCATGGCCTAGGAACCTATGCAACATAATCAGAATTGGAAAAAGAGTAGAAGGTTGGCAACTAGGATTTACCAAGACGGGTCTGTATTCACACACATTAATAAGTTTCAAGTACCGATAAAGGCAAATTTTTATCATGGGTTAGCAAAGCAAGATGAGTAAGGTATCTGTAGAATTAGATATACTCAACCACGTCTAAAAGGTGTGTCACTTTCAGATGCCTACATTTACCGAAAAAAGATAATCTTGCTTTTATGGGCTTTAACCAAATACACAAGAATGGGATGCAACAGTAATATTTGACAAGGAATGTAGAGTAGGTTGTTCCAGATAGTTTCAATTTAAACCTGATATTTCTAAAAAAATCTAATGCATCATCAATTTAACGAGGATCAAATAGCAAACCTAAAAGTTCAACCATGGCCATCTTATGATATTAGTCAATAACACTGGTTTTAACACTTTGCTTCTCTAAAACCATCTATCAAGTATGCTGAAGCATATCAACTAATTAGTGAAAGTCCACTATGTATCAACCTGTCTGAGAAACTGAGACTACAAAGGTAATTATTTTATTGCAGACATCATTTAACAGAGCAAAAGAGTGCCAAAAGAATGCATACCTATAATAACTAACGGGGAAGAAGGGGTTCTCTGTCATCAGGTCCAACGCGATGGCTAGCCTGTAAACGTCATAAAAAGATATGAGAAATACATGCATGCATAATCTTTTGAATTTTTTTTTGCAAGTTGATCAGAGTCTTACATCTTCACTTGCCCCAGCCGCCATATTTATGAAGGATCCATCCTTTGACCTGTAGAAATCAAGCACTCAAAGTTTCTTAAAAAGAAAAAACACTAGATTGATGATATCAAATGTGTTGTAAGAAAGGCAACACAATAACTAAAGATTTCACACAACATGCATCAAACTATCAAAGTGATAACTGAGATTAGCTACAACACCTGCATAATTAATAGACCATATATAGAAAAATAATAGTTTAAAGAAAACTAAAGGGAGGAAAGGTGGGCCCTCCATTGGACCAGAAGAAGCAATTGTTTCATCTTGACCCTGCCTGATTTCATGTCCATTTATAGTAAAATATTAAACCCTCTCTGCTCTTGAAAACGAGGAACCTGATGAAATTCCTATTTTGTTTTCATAATTCAGAGAATAACATTAGGAATGTCTCCATACTCTGGAAGTTCATTATGATGTTCTGATGGATCCTATTTTGTTCTAGTCCAGTATCCCTCCATACTCTGGAAGTCTAAACAGTCCTTTACATCAGCGACTCCTAAGAACGTTAAGTACTTGATCCAAAACAATCTAAAGGGCGGATCTAGAGATAAGCATCTGAAAGCCTGTCCAGAGAAGACGTCGCAGGGTAACCACAATCTCGTGTATATCAGTTTTGCTTTCATAAAGCTTAAAACTTGAAAGAAGAATGCACCTGTAGTTTTTCGGATAATCCATTTCCAGGTTGGCGTTTTGAGGCTCATCCCTGACCTTTGCAAGAGGTGAAAAGAACTGAAAAATTGAAGCTTGACGTAAGTCCAAGTTAAAAAACTAAGCATGCCACTCAAAATAGATAACAACATCAAAATATAACCTGATGCATCGAGATAAACACAATGGAGATTCCTAAGATGAAGTTCATAGTAAGGGTATGTCCAAACAATACAGCAGATGCTATTCCAGTGAAGATAGTGGCCACAGTTGATGAATACTTCTTCAGAATTGTATCTGCAAATGTAAAAACGAAGCAATGATTAGTTAATGCATTTAAGTAATACATTTACTAGACATTACAAACCACCGTAGAAAAATGAAATCTGCATGTTGCTCACTACCAGAAATTGGAAGTACCTTGTAAGAGCTGGGAATCAAAAATTCAATAGCACATGCAAAACAATTAAAAATTGAAGCGACCCATTTTGGCTCGCAAAATTGGATTAATTCAGGGAGAGAAAAGCTCAAGTCCCACATACAAAAGAAATATACAACACAAAAAAATTATGGAGTATAAATCGGATGATTAGACAAGATGTATACACAGATGCATCTTGTCGAGTGCAAATAGCAAGAGGTTCAATGTTAATAATTCAATCAACTCTTCAAAATACATTCTATTTTCTTCATTGATAAAAGTCAAAAATCTACTTGGGAAGCCAAATAAGTGAGAGAATCCTCACCTGCGTACTTGAAGAAGAACGAAGACAGGATTCCCTGAGCTGCATTATTGCATATTAAAAACATTGTTGCTCGTGAGTGTCCCCGTAAGATATCAAAATTGTCAGGTCCTGAATAGAATTTGACACAGAATTAGCCAAGAGTACAGGAATTAAATAAATTCTGTGCATAAACCAACAACTGGAAGTAGACACGTAAATCAATCCAAGAGTAAAGGAATTGAATGAGTTCGCTAAAATGCTTATGAAATCTAATGGATTGATGCATCATAAGCATTTTACGCAAACACAAAAGGCCTGGGAAGTATAAGCAAGTGGGGATCCTGTTATGGATGGTACTCAATCTAAGGTTGATACATCCAGGTCCATTTTGTTAACTTTTAAAATTATGACGAGTAATATGTCTTTATTTTGATGCTTTCCTTATACTCCCACTGTTTCAATTTGTTTGTCTTACTTTTCTTTTTAGTCCATTTAAAAAAGCATGTCTCTTTCCTTTTTTGGCAATTTTTTTATCACAAACTTTTCACATGACAGGCTTTAAACCACAAGATTCAGAAGTCTTCTTCATTCTTAAACTCTGTGTAAGTTGTAACTGATTCATGAAGGAGGTGAAAGCTACAAAGGAGGGAAGATAAAGATAACCTGAAGATAGAATTTGAAAGAAGTTAATAATTGATCAGTTTTTTCAGATATTATGATTAATCACATGTTTATTAATGTCAAGAGAGCTTCATTCTTAGGAAACACAAAAAGGATAAGATTTCCCATTCATACCTTTGTAAATGACAGTTCCAAGTATGCCTAGGAAGTTGAAGATTGCACCATATCCGTACAAAAACAAATTCTGCAAAGAGCAGTTTAGTTGTTTGAATGGATCATTAATAAAGTCATAGACACCCATTAAACAAACCACACCAAGAGGTTACAAGTATTTCACTACTTGGAAGATCGTGATTATCATACTATTAGCTTTGTATAATTACACCAAACAAAAGTATTGCTCAGAAAAAAAATCTGATTATTAGCAAATCAATTAACAATTCTATGTGATGGTTAGAACTAAGACAGTGAAGAAATATTGGAAATGAAAGAAGAAACTGCGGAAGAGAAGATATCTATTGTTTTAGCTGGGATCCAATTGAATGAAATCAAACTCACTGCAGCAGCTTAAAGCACTTTAGGAGTAATCAACAGCAAATGTTCACCTGAAGATAAATGCTGGTCTCGAATTGGCTTTTCAAAGCATATTCATTGTAGACAGATGCCAGTGAAGGAACAGTGACCTGAATTATTACATTGCATCAGTTTCTATCCACATTAAATAAGACAACTAGGTGTAAAGTCAATAAAGTATTGCATAAAGTTTGTTCCAGTACAAGTGGCACTGTATTGTAAACCACCTATATTCTCTTGGACACTAAAAAAGGAGGAAAAAAAAGAAAAAGAAAGGGAATTGTGTGAATTAGTGTACAGATTCCACAAGGTAAAATAATTCCTGAAGGCAGTACACTCAGAGCTAGAATATCTGATGGATCAAGCAAAGAATGTGAGTAGTCATTAAGAATTATCTTCATATAATACTTACGAAAATCAAGGTATACAAATATGCCCCTGTTGTCACTGTAAGATCCAAAGCTGATGCACCTTCTGGTAGAGAGCGCAGCTGATTCACACTGATGCCAATAAGCAATAGCGCAAGAGCCTCCCACTGTGACCATTTAGTTTTGATAGTCATATATAGTTAGCATTCTTTCAGGGTCCAAGATGCATAAACACAGATCATACACATCTAAAAATCAATTAAAAATTACAGTTGACTATAGTTCATAAACAAATCTCTGTCAGCTTTACCAACCTGAATTATGGAAAAACGGCGTTTCATAACTATCTTTAACAACATTGCAATTACCAAAACCTGCAAGTTTTAAGAATTTTTTTTTAAAAAAAGAATCACCAACACAAAATTTGAGAAGATAAATCAATCAGCGGCAAAAGAGGAAAGATCTGGTACAAGTATGACACAAAATAATTGAATCCTCACATCAGGCATCACAAAGTAATCACATCATCCTTGAATACGAACTGCAATTAAAAGACTAACCAGCTCACCACCAAATCCCAACTACAAATACTTTATGTGAGCCTATCGGCTCAATCTTCGGAGGGCAGGGTTACCCATGGAAACCTGTTCTTGTGAGTTGTACAGGCAGCCTGGTGGATCAATTAAGGTGCACACTAGTTGGTCAGGCACAACAAATATAATAAAGGGGAAAAAGGACTACCTATCTCAACCATCTGAAGAAAATTAAGCTCATTGTTGTTATTTCCCATTCAATCTTGAGTGCACATAAATGGAAATTTGAACACCTAATAGTAAAACCTGACTGTGAACACTCAACTAAAGCTAAGACTGAAGCAGAAACAAAAGATAGCAAGCAGAGTTTGTAATTAATCTAGCATGTAAGATCCGCTGAATTATCAGCTATTTGCAATTTTATCAGGGAGATATAACTTATCAAACCAAAATTACTGTAGGATTTTCACAAGTAAATTGCAAAGTCTGAAAGTGTCAACAATAACTATAAGCAAATGATACCTTCAAGTTACTCAGCATCTTTACAGTAGCAGGGTTAAAATATAACTGCACGAAGTAACAGAAAGTGTCATTAGAAGTGTGAGAGGATAGTTGAACTCCAATAACATGCACCAACAATGCAAAACATTAGGGCTAGACAAGAAAGTGAGTCCTTATGAGTTAAATAATTCCACTTGAGAAGACATAAAATTTTGAAGAAAGTAATCACAACAGATAAAGATTACACGAAATCAAGAAGCTTAAATAATTCCACTTGAGATGACAATCAAGTCTCCTCATGCCAAAGTTCTCAACTTTAAGGGAAGATACTCAATTTACTTTCTGATCAAAAGAGGCTATAAAAGAAAATCTTCTAGTAATGTATTTTTTGAGTTATATGTACATACATATCTATCTTGGAAATCACGTGGTATTTCTTAATAATACAAGAATAGTACACTGCTGATAGAGAAAAAAAAAGTAGATAACAGCCATATTAATCAATATGCTTCAATCCCAAGCTAGCTGAGGTAGGGTATATGAATCTATTTGAAACCCACCATCTAAGATAAGGGCAGTAAGTCATGAGAATTTGATAAGCATCTCAGAAATAACCTATTAATATCCAAATGAGGAACGACAGAAAAAATTTACCTGCATGATAAACTTAAGGTAGTTATTAATAGCATAAAGCAGAGCGGGAACAGCCAGAAGCACATTGTTCCGAGCAGCCTGCAATTAATAAAGGAAAAACAGTTTGTAACAAAAGTTGCCATGAACATTCTTCACTGTAATTCTTAATATCCCACTTGTGTCCTACGCGGTAGAGGAATGTCAGAGAAAGTACTTCTGAATGGTTAGATTCATTAATTTCAAACTTCAGATTGGAGTATTAATTAAAGAACAAAGCCCATTCACATATTGGTTATAAAAAATTAACTTGGTCAATAGAAACCTATTACTTTTCCTCTGAGGCCAGACAGGTTCCCACCTTTTACCGGCTGAAGGACCAAGCAGCTGAAGCAACTCCACCCCCAATTTATTGAGGCCCCATTAACCATTTATTAAGTACTATTAGAAGTCAGTGGTCATCATCATTATGGTCATTATTTCTTCATTCATTGTATATTGGAAAACATAGGAGAAATATAGAAAAGAATGCTAACATTCTATGTAGATTTAACAAGGATGACTAAACTATCTATAAGGAAGTGGAGAGAAATATAGGGATAACAAAGAAAATCCTTCATTGCATGTCAAAAAGGTGGAAACATAAACTTCAAATGGAAATAAATAAAAGATTTTTATTTAACTTGAAGCTCTTATTAAAGTATGGCTTTAAGCCGGCTGAGATGGGTTCACCTACTCCATGTTCATTTAAATATCTTCACTAATTCTCATTTAGGTAAGCAACAATATTGGTATATGGAAAAGTCAACATAATACCCAGTGTAATCTCTGGGTACTGGGGAGAGTAGTGTATAAGCAAACCTTACCCCTTCCTTAAATGGAAGAGATGTTGTTTCCAGTAGACCCTCAACTCAAAACAGATGAAAAAGACAACAACAACAACACACAGGAAGAAAAACGAGAGAAAACAAAAAGAATGTAAGTTTATGAATTAATGTAGATTGTGTGGAGAGAGAAATAGGAGAGCTTTAGAAGAAGTAGAGTCGAGTTTGTACCGTTGAAGAGTAGTCTTTGTTCCCTTATTTTCTTTTGGTGCACACAGAAGTTCCTTGTTGTATAGACGGTTGGGTGAAGTCTAAAGAGAATCATATATTTTGTAGATTCTCTACCTTTTGGTATACCCTTGTATACAGCCAGTTTAGCCATGTTTATGAATGAAAATTCTTTTACTTTGATTAAATAAAGTGTAGGTATATTCTTTTGTATACATGAAAAAGAAAAGTCTCAGTGGGAACATTTTTATATTGTTTAACACAACTGAACATGAAACTTGTATATCTATTTAAAACAAATAAAATCACTTCTGTGAATTAACAAGTATTACCTGGAACAATGTGGAGAAAGAAAGAAGAGACTTCTCTCCAGCCTTCTGGTTTCGAGCCTTCAAATAATAATACAAGAGATTGAAACATTTTAAAACAAGTGAATAGTTATACCAAGGTATCAAGATAGTAAGAACAAATTATGATGCATATACCAATACCTGGTAGAATTTGTTATATCGAAAAAGAAGAGACGAAGCTCATAGGAAATTGAAGGTGTAGAAGGTTATAGAATAAGTTAAGTCAGTAAAGAGAGACAAAGACATACCTCTAAGCATAGCATTATTACTGCAAATGCAACTTTTGCCAACTCAGTCAAAAAATTAACACTGATGGGACTGAACTCGAATTTGCCATCAACTTTTGACATATATACAAGTATAGGCTGCAAGAAAAGAAATAAATGAAAAATGTATTTTATTTAATATACAAATATAGCATAATATAGAAACTTACATAAGAAAACCCGAAATATTCCAGTGTTACTCTGTGCAAAATAACTACTTTTTGATAACCAAGTTCTAAGAAATAATTACTCTCATTTTTCTTAAAATAAATACAAATACGTAATATTCAATATTCAACACAAGAATAAAAAAAATCAAAAGTTTAAGGTCGTACGAACAACCAACCTTCACTAAGAGAAATATTTAGACCATCAGGTTCTTTTATTGGCATCAATCTCTGTATGTGTGTTGCCATGGAAAGTGTTTCAAAGATGATTTTGCAAAATCATGAGAAAATTGATGACATTCCAAAATGAAACTTAGACATACCCATCAATTTACTCTTTTGAGCCATTTTACCTTCTACATTCCAAGATGACCCAGTTTTAGTAATATCAATAGTTTTGCATAATTTAGCAGATTTTAATACAAAACACAATTACCTCGATTAAGTAAGAAACCAGTAGACGTAAACATATTCAAAACTACAACTCTTATCATCAAAAGGAAAAATATCATACGATAGGCCAAAATATATTTCACTACTAATGATCAACCGCTTTATTATTCATCATTGTCATTAGCTATCAATATCATTTCACTACTAATGATCAACCGCCACCAACAACAACCACAAATAATCACTACTGTCAACCACTATACCACAAGATACAACCCACAACCACTATTATCAGTCAACACTATTCCAAATCGACATACACAATCACCATCACTAGTCATTAACATCGCCGAATATCATTCTAAACTAAGAGCCTTAGGGCTTTGATTCAACAACAGAGGCAGAACACAAGATGTGTAGTAGGTGTGAGTTACTGAGTTCGAACCAAGTTTAGTATGTAACGAAGAAGGGTAGAGGGACTGGTCTAAAGCTAAAACAACAGCTTTCCCGGTCATAAGAAAAATGATTCTACGCTAAGATGCACATGTTATCAATCACATGCCACCTCCATAGTCCCTCCATTCGCACCTTAAAATGAGAAAAAAATGTCATTCTGCTAGCAATTGCCTCTCCTACTTTATTTCACCAACACTCCACATTTCAAGAGTCTTTTATCAACTTTCAGCATTTTATTGATGCAGATGATTAAGTTTGACAGGTTGCAGTTCCTGATACTCAGACTTCTACATTATTTTTTGCAAATGAATTTGTATCTATTCACCTTCCAGGCACTAATGCATACATCTTCTTTACTTTGTGGCTTTGCAAATCACCAAAAGAACTCATTTTTTCCAGCTCAATAGGATTCGTTTCACACTAGTTAAAAATCTTCGTGCACATTCTATCCAACAAATTCAGAATAAAAAAAAATTGTTCTTGAGCTGATTATTTCTACCTTAATAGTTAAAGAGCAAGTAGTAACACCATTACAAACCACAAAATTCAAAATGCCAGTTTCACATAAGCTACAGCAGCAAAAATTCAATAACTGTAAACCGACCAAAATGCTGTCACCGACGACCAAAAAAATAATATAAAACAGCAAATTTTCAACTATACATCAGTGTGATGACGATCATAAACTTTTGTACCTGTTCATCATCCAGCTACTAATGCAAACAAACATTTTTTCTAGCTCAAAAAGGATTTGCTTCATACTAGTTAACCGTCTACATTCACAATAAATTTTTTGTTCTTCAGCTAATTATTCCTAGCTTAACAGTCAAAAGAGCAAGTAGTAAAACTATCATCCAAAACCACAAAATTCACAATGCAAGTTTCACATACCTGTAACCCGACCAAAACGCAGTCACCGACAACCAAAAACACGTTGAAAGCTCGAGTCTTCACCGATACAACAGTCCGATGACGATCATAAGCCTTTGACACCGTTCTTTTGGTAGGGGAAGCTACCAATTTCGAGTGACAAACGCTGCATTCCGATATTTCATTCATTTTTACTCAACTCGTCTCTCACCGGAACTCAAAATTACTCCGTCGATGCCTAAATTTTTCCGACGAACGATCGATTTAGCGAAGAAATTAGCTTTTTGGAACTTTGATTTGTGTTTGTTGGATCTGAATTTTCATTCATTATTTATAGAAGAAAGTCTCTTAGTATTTTTTCCTTATAAAGTATATTCTTGAAAGAAAATGTGAAATGACCAAATTACCCATAGATTAGATATAGATGAAATAGGGATTGATGAGGGTATTTTTGTCTTTTGATGAGTAAATTTTTTTGTGGAAAAATTAAATAAATTAGTACATTTTAATAAATAATTACTGATTTCAGCAATACTTTTTATTTATTACCATTTATAAAAATACCATGTTAAATCTGCAATATGAATTAAAAGTGAATTATGTATGCAATATATATGGATTATAATTGTTTTTTGGAATATATTATGTTTGTTTGGTAAAAAGTTGACACATTTTATTATAAGTGTATTAAAATTTGTGATTAATGTATTATCAATCATTAAAACTTGTATTATATATTAATAATAAATTGTTCTTTATAATATGTATTAAACTTGTATTATAAATGAATTAAAACCGATCAAGTGAAAATAAGATATTATTGCTATAAGTGATAAATATTTTTTTATTTTAGTATATTTATGTATGTTTCCCTTTTTTTGTTCTAATCCATTTTTAGCTCTCGTTTGGTCAAAAAATTTGAAGTCGAAACTTGAAAATTTGGATCATAATTGGATATACATTTTTATTTGGAAAAATAACTAAAGTTATTATTGGTTATGCAATTTATTTGGAAAAAAGATTAAATATATATGATTTTGAAGTTGAAATTGAAAATTTGAATTATAATTAGATATATGCATTTTATTTGGAAAATACTTAACAGTTATGTGACCATTTTCTGAAAAGAAAATATTTAAAGATTAAACTTTATTCCTAATTAGATATTGAAGATAAATTTTTAAAATTTCATTCAAAATATATATAATCAGAGATCAGCTTAAATTTGATCTTGTTTGAATATGTTTATTTCCTTTTATAGTAATGCTTAATAAAAGATATTTCGTTGTAAGTTTTCAAAATTATATTAGATTTATATGAAGATAAATTTTCAAGATCTGATTTTTAAGTGTATGGTCAATTTATATGTTCTAATCCATTTTTTAGCTCCCGTTTGGTCAAAAAATTTAAAGCTGAAACTTGAAAATTTAGATCATAATTGGATATGCATTTTATTTGGAAAAATAATTAAAAATATATGATTTTGAAGTTCAAAATTGAAATTGAAAATTTGGATTATAATTGGATATGCATTTTATCTGAAAAAATAATTAAAGCTATGTGATTTTGAAGTTGAAACCTAAAAACTTAGAATTGTAATTGGATATGCATTTTATTTGGAAAAATAATTCTAGTTATATCACCATTTTCTAAGGAGAAAATATTTAAAGATTAAAATTTTTAAATCTAATTAACATTTATGCTTAAATAGATATTTGAAAATAAATTTTTAAAATTTTATCCAAAATATATGATCAGACACTAGCTTAAATTTGATCTTATTTGAATATGTTTATTTCCTTTTACAGTTGTGCTTAATAAAAGATTTTCTATTATAAGTTTTCAAAATTTGATTAAATTGATCAAACAATTATATAAATATATCAAGATAAATCTTCATCCAAAGTGTATGGTCAAACGCTAGCTTAAATTTTATCTTGTTTAAATGTGTTTATTTCCTTTTATAGTCATGCTAAAAGATTTACCATAAATAAGTTTTAATAATAACAACAATAACATATTTAATATAATTCACATATAGGGTTTGGAGAAAGTAATGTATCCCTATGACATAAGTAAGACTTTTCATCGTGAATTTTATTTTAGTCGGGCTTTAATGTGAATACGAGCTATGAACAGGGGCAAAAACATTTACGACGAGTATTATGTTGTTCAGAATCTAAAGTGAGTGTGTAACATAATTATGAATTTGCAAATTATCTTAAAATATCAAGAGAATTTTTTTCGGTTTGAATCTTGAGAATGAAAAACGTAAAAATAACCTTATTAATAGGCCTTACTCGACTTGAATACGATAAGTTACGATGTCAAAGCAGACACCAAAATTGTTCTAATTCGTTCGTAAGTTTTTCTGTTTAGAATCTTGTTATCAATATTAAAAATACAACAACAACATAGTCTTACAGAGTGAAGTTTGGAAAACGTAGAATATATGCAAACCTTACCTGACCTCTGAGATAGCGAGAAAAAAAATTAATATTTTTACAATAGCATTGACATTCCATCTTCACTAAATTGAAGCATATGAATCATGACATTCCAATTTTTGCATCATTATGCACCAAACAAGAAAAAATAATCAAAAGATGCCTCACTACATCATGATTTTAAAGCTTAGACTCCATTTTTTTTCCATTATTATATCTAGAAAGTTAAAATGGTACACTTTACATTGCATTATGCAATTTCTCATATGCCTAATTTCAACTCCCATCTTCTTTTAGCTACAAGAGAAAACTGGGATGCATAAATGAAGTGCATTTGTAAACACATCAAACACAAAGAATGGGATCGCCACGCGTAATCAGTGGATTTGCTCAAACTGCAGCCGCTTTAATGGAGAGGAAATCAGAAATCTTGTTGGCGTAGAAATCCGGTTGTGTAGAGTTGCTGGGATCTTGAAGCATCGATAGAGATGTCACGCCTAGAATATGAACAAAAGGTAGTGTTGGATGACAGATTTTGAAGCATATGCCTTATAAGGAGAACAAATTTTCCTTTCTGAGATACCTGAGAGAACCAGAAGAGTTTTGCAGCCACCATTTTGTCCAAACACTATATCTGTATCCAATCTGTCACCGACCATGCATATCTGCGACTTCTGTATCTTAAACCTGTTGTGATAACGTCAAAGAAGATGAAGAAAGAGAAGTTATTCAACTCGTCCAGTTATATTCACATCTACACTGTAACAGAATTGAGAAAATGCATAATGAAAACTAGTTTCTATAAAGAACTTTGTAACGTTGAACGACAGTTTTTTTCGTATGAATATGAACCTGAAAATGATAGAAGGATTTAGTTCATGTTTGATCTAGAAAATTGCTTGATACATCACAATGCCAGTACTACTCCTTCAGTATACATAAGTTGAAGAAAAAGTTCGTAAACACTCTTTCTATCTCTTTTATGAGAGACGGTACAAATACTACCTACATAAGCATGATGCAAACATTTAGGTCACCCTTTCAAGGCTAAAGCCTAAAAAGTATTATTACTTAACATGCAACTAGAGAGCACAAAATCAAACTTGATCTAGAAGTAAGGTAGTATATTTTTTAACAAGTCTCATGATGAAGCATTCATCATAGGATGACAAAGTTTCATCAGCAACTAAACAAGTATACATCTGAAATAACTAGCGGTAATATAACGCTAGTGAAGAGCAGGGGTGGAGCTACATGGACGAGGGGATTTAATTGAATCCCTGTCAGAAAAATTCTTTGCAGAAAACCCTTTTTTTTTTGCATATATATTTAGTGTTGAATCATCTTGTTATAAGTGAAGATATTAGCATATTGCAAAGGTGGTACAAAAATTGTTTTAGGTCAGAAGTTCAAACTCTGGGTATGACATTCTTGTATATTTTGAATCCCCTCATGGAATTCCTGGCTCCGCCACTGCTGAAGAGTCAATGGTAATAAGTTACAAGTTTCAATTACCTTTATTGGCAATGTGTAAATCCTGCATTTATAGCTATTTAATATTTATAGCTAAAAGTTCGTTTACGGGAATCACGAGCTTCTGGAGCAGCATTAACTTTTATGACTAGAAAAGCTTACTGAATTACACATCAAAAAGTGATGGACTCTGGCAGAGAGCCCATTCGGCCAAAGAAATGGAGCAAAGGGAAGGGAGCAGAAGACAATGACAAAGAGTGCAAATAAAGAAGATGAGGTAGGACAAGACATAATATTGTAGAAAATTAGTGCCATACTTATCAGCCAAGTAGTCCATCATGAAGGTTGAGGGCTTTCCTACAACAAGTGGTTCACGCTTTGTAGAGCCTAGGATCGCACCAACCATTGAACCACCACCTGAAGCAACAGAACAGAAAGGATGCAGCTTAGTTTAAATATGGAAAAAATATTTCATGGTTATAGCTGTACAGAATGATCAAAGCAGAAGACACTTGAAATTTAGAAAAAAGATTAGCTAGAGTAGCACCTTAACATGGCAATAAGTTGATGACTAAGTAAATGCTAAATGAAAAATCTTGTCATCTTTCTAACTATATAACCTCGAGTTTAACGACTAACAAGGTTGATCCAAATTAGTTCAGTAATCAACTATTCAAACTAGTTAACACCTCAACATTTCTTTCAGATGAAAAAGCAAATGACATGGCTCGAAAGGCTCTATAGATAATGACTTGGACGAAAGCGTAAACAGGTAAAACAGGAAAAGAATTGAAGTGTACGTCGCAATTGCAATAACATGTGATAAATTCTGATTGCAAGAAAAAGCTCTTACTGTAAATGATAGTGCGAGTGAAACATGACGACTACAGAAATAATCATTTTGGTGCCAAGTAGATTTAAGTCCAACAGAGAATGGGTTCAACAACTAACTTCTGTTAATGAACGATTTAACTCACAGAACAAACATGTGAACCTATCTTTTAAAGCATGAGAGGGGAATAACCTGCCCATTCCTGAGCATCTGTAAGATGGGTAACAGCATCACGATTTGTAGCAATGAAGAGACATCCTGGATTTTCACGTATGCACAGGGTAGCATACCTTCATTAAAGAAAGCAAGTTAGAGATATGATATCAACAGGTCAGATAATATTTATACAGACAGGTGAATGCGCGACATAGGAAGCCTGTACATTTATAATACCCTTCACTTTTCCCCGAGTCTTGTCTTGAATACAGGGTTTATATGTGCAGACAGTAATTCTAGTCTGAATCAGGTCCTCCAGCAAGGGGAGTATTTTATCATGGGATAGCCAAAATGGATAGATGATCAGAACTTCGAGCAAAGATAAAAGTACTATATGAGTGGTTAAGTAA